TAAATAACAAAATTTATCAAATTCTCCCCAAAAAGTTTGAAACTTGTACCAAAGTACCAAAAATAATCAAATAATCAAATAATCAACAAAATTTTAAGCTAGTGCCAAAAGTATCAAATCTGTACTAAAACTATAAAAAGAAGCATCAAATTGGTACCAAGGTCTCAATTTTATATCGAAAAAATGTCGAATTGTTACCAAAAGTTTGAAACTGCTACCAAGGTCTCAATTTTATACCAAAAAATGTCAAATTGGTACCAAAAAGTTTTAATTTGTATACGAAGTATCAAATTTATTTCAATAAATTTAAAACTGGTACCAAATGCAAAAAATCAGTATTAAAACTATAAAACAAATGTATCAAATTGTTATCAAGGTTTCAATTTTATGACAAGAAAATCTCAAATTGATGACAAATAATACGAAATTTGTACCAAAGTTTCAAATTGTTTCCAAAAATTTTTAAATTAATACCAGAGTATTAAATACTTTTCTGATAGTTTTTAGGATCAATTTAATACAAAGGTACCAATTTGATATTTTTTAATACCAATTTGATACTTTGGTACAAATTTGATATTTTTTTATACCAATTTGATACTTTGGTACCAATTTGATAATATTTGATACCAATTTGATACTTTGGTACCAATTTGATATTTTTTGTATACCAATTTGATATTTGGTACCAATTTGATACTTTGGTATCAATTTGATATTTAGTACCAATTTGATACTTTGGTACCAGTTTCATAATTTGGTACCAGTTTTATATTTTTTTGGATATATTTTGAATTTTTTTGGTATTAAATTGAAACCTTTGTATCTATTTAATACTTTTAGTTCCAATTTGAAACTCGGGTATAAATTAAAAAAAATTCGGTAACAATTAGAGACTTATTTGGTAGCACTTTGAAACTTTTTTGAGCCAATTTGTTACATTTGGTATCACCTTAGTATTTTTGATACTAATTTGAAACTTTGATACTAATTTCAAATTATTTGACAAAAATTTTACTTCTTTTTGTACAAAATTGAGTTTTTGGTATCAATTTGATACTTGTAGTATTAATTAATACTACCAAGTATGAAATTGATGCCATGGATTCAATATTATACAAAAATAGTAAAATTATTATTTTTGTTATTAATTAATACAAAAAGTATCAAATTGTTATCATGGATTCAATTTTGTACAAAAAAAGGAAAATTTTAGACAAATAATTTGAAATTGGTACCAAAGTAACAAATTTTAAAATTGTTACAAAAAAGTAATGATTAGAAATAAAATAAATAAACAGTATAACTAAAAATAAAACAATTAAAAGAAAGATAATTCCAATGCGTCGAATATTACCCGATATTACCAAAAATTAAATTAGCCAAAGCATATTTCTTGATAGTTAGAGCATAAGAAAAACCGTTACTTCGCGGCATAAAATCTAATTATACAACGATCCGTTGTGCATTCCAATATAATGCCTTAACCAGTGATCTCGTGAATATAGACGTTAATAATAATACCGGTAATAAAACAACGAGAGAACGAAATATAAAAACAGCATTCTTCACGAGAACTATGAAAGAAAAAATAAAATAAGGACCTTTATTTTTAAATCATTAACTTCCTTTTTCTTTGCAAATAGACATTATCTTACAATATTTTAATACAATAAATTAGAACTTAACTTAGAAAGTTGCCTGAGTGCAACATATATCTTAGATAGTTTACACATTGAGATAGAAAGGTTTTTCAGGCGCACAGTGGCTAGAGAGAGAGAGAGAATTAAAAAAAGTCAATGACGTATAATTTAATAATAGAGGGGAATTAAAATGAGGATCCCCCCTCCCATCTTTGTGTTTATTTGACATTTACCCGCGCCTTGTTCGCGAAATGCGCGAGAAAGGAAAGCAAGTCTGTATATGCATATAAACTTCCTTCATTCCGTGCGTGCGATAATAAAACATCCATCTAACAAGGATCAAGTCCACACGCTTAATTATCATGAGATGAATGAATTCCAAGCTAAGGAAAGTGTCAGGAATCGTAAATGTCAGGAAGTAACAACATGTGCGCTTGTAGAAATGCTTTATGTCCCACATGAAAATTTAAATATGCTCACGTTCACTTTATTATTATATTACCTACTTTACATACTTAATAAATTTTTCTCTTTTTTTTAATTTTATTTATTATTTAAATCACAACTCTTAATCACATGGAAAATAAAAGACAAAGTAAAAATAAAATTTGCTTAGGCAAATTTTATTTTTACTTTTTAGATCAAATTTTTATTTCTTGGTCACAAATTAAAGGGGAATTATTGCTCCTTAAAATGTGACAATTGAGAATTTTTTAAATATATTTTTGATAGCCAGCGTTCCCACCCGCCCGTATCAGAAAAACGAAAATTGGGAAAAAAAATCGAAAAAAAATTCATAACTTGAATAATTTTTGACCAATTTTTTGTTTCTTGGTCGCAAATTTAAGAGGGATTAATGCTTCTTATTATTGGACCAATAAGAATTGTTTAAAAAAATTTTTGATACCCAGCGTCCTCACCCGCCCGTATCAGAAAAATGAAAATTAGAAAAAAAATCGAAAAAAATTCATAACTTGAACCGAGCCGAGCCGTTTTTAGGAAAATTTTTCTACTTTTGGAACCAATTTGATGTTTTTTCAAAACAATTTGATACTTTGGTACCAATTTTATACCTGGTACCAATTTCAAACTTTATGGTTCTAAGTTAGTTGGTTCCAATTTTTATATTTTTCTTAATAATTTGGTACTTTTGCTACCAATTTATATTAATTTTTATAACAATTTTTTACTTTGGTACCAAATTCAATCTTCTTATTAACAATGTGATTTTTTGTATAAAATTGAGACTGTGGTATCTATTTGATACTTTTCGATCGTGTTTAAGATCAATTTGATATTTTGATACCAATTCCAATGTTTTTAGTCTTAATCTGATTTTTCTTGTTATTAATTTGAGACTTTGCCACCAATTTGATAGTTTTTAAGATCAATTTGATACTTTCGGTACCAATTTGATACTTAGGTACCAATTTCATACTTTTTAGGCTCAATTTGCTATTTCTTGTTAGTAATTTGAGATTTTGGTAGCAATGTGAAACTTTTGGTACAAATTTTATTTGCCTAGACAAATTTTATTTTTACTTTGTCTTTCATTTTTACCTCCTTATATTATATATATTTATATTTATGGATTTTTTGTTTTTGTTTCTTATTTTTGCCCTTTTTTTTGCTAGTATACGTAAAATGTAAATACCATAAAAAAAATTATTTCCTCTCATGTGTTGTAATATTTCAAGCGGAAATTGAATGATTTGTCCTCAGTCAAGGTAGAAAGTATAATTATAAAAATTAGCAGTTTATTAAGATCAATATAGTTTTTCTAATAAGAAAATTACAGACAAATTATTATTTGTTTTTTTCTAATCATCATTTGATTTATGCTATTAAGTATCATGCAGTTCCTCATATTTTTCAACTTTCATTTCACTCATAATTTCAAATAGAGTTGAATGTAAAAATTTAAATCGATTAATATTTTAATAATATATATTTGTGTAAAAATAAATTTTAATATATAAGTGAGAGAGAGAGAGAGAGAGAGACAAAGAGAGAAACGAAAGAGGAATGAGAGAGATATATAATATGGAACAATGGTTATTTATTGTATGTACACAATCTTATAATATTCATTGATCTAGATTTTACACATGACTAATAAATATATAGGAAAGCAACTCTCTTTAAAGTTTCAAAAGAAATATATGAGAAAGGCAATAGAAAATGATTACAAGTGGGTTCTTTAAATGGCTATAAATTGCAAATACCAAAGTGAAATAAGTAGCAATTGTCGGATGAGGCGATACTTGAGTTATTCTCAATGAGCCACTTTAATGTTGAATAATAATTAGTATATTTATCCTTTATATTCTATTCCGAAGAGAAAAAATTTTTACTACTTTTTCAAGAATGTTGATTTTTATTATGCAGATGAGTTTCCTTGGAAATATTACGTTTCTAATATCTGAATACTTATATTTCAAAATGGTACCACAAGTTTCATATTGGTACCAAAAACTATCAAAAGTGTTAAATTGGTACCAAAGTCTCAAATTAATAACAGAAAATATCAAAATGAGACTAAAAAGTTTAAAACTGGTACAGAAGTATCAAATTGGTATGAAAAGCATCAAATCGATATTAAAAAATACCAAAAAGTTTAAAATTGGTACCAAAGTCTCAAATTAAAAGTAGGAAATATCAAATCAATAATAAAAAGATTGAAATTTCTATCAAGAATCTAATTGGTACCAAAAGGTTTAAAATTGGTACCAAAGTATCAAATTATTATAAAAATAGAAAATTGGTACATAAAGTATCAATCAATCTTAAAAAGTATCAAATTGGTACCAAAGTCTAGAATTAATAACAAAGAATATAAAATTATGACTAAAAATTTTGAAATTGGTACCAAAGTATCAAACTATTATAAAAAATAAGAAATTGATACAAAAAACTTTGAAATTGGTACCAAGTATCAAATTGGTACCAAAGAATCAAATTGCTACCAAAAAGTTTGAAATTGGTACCAAAAAGGTTAAAATTATTACCAAAGTCTCAAATTAAAAACAGGAAATATCAAATTAATAATAAGAAGTTTGAAATTTGTAGCAATTATCAAATTGGTACCGAAAAGTTTAAAATTGGTACCAAAGTATCAAAGTGGTACCGAAAAGTTTAAAATTGGTACCAAAGGATCAAATTGATACCAAAACTTTGAAACTTTTGGTACCAATTTTTGATTTATATATATGTTTTTAATTATTGAGCTATAATTATTTTTGAATAAATACATTATGTACAGTTCTGTTCATTTAATAAAAAAAATAATAACATAAGTAGTAATAATTATAGTACTTGAATTTATAATCAACAGAAAATATGATTTTTTTTTTGCAGAGATGAGAAGTGAGGTAGGAGAATGGTTGCCCACGTGCGTCGGTTCGCCAATTTGCATCCTACTTCTCTCTTGGTCACTACTCATATACCAGAACCAACCATCATCTGCAAAAAGAAGAATAGACATTCTGACAGTGGCAATTCTTTCAGAAAGTCTCGTTCATCAACTCGGATTATTACTGTACGCAATTCTCACACTAATTCGACCAGCAAATCATTTCGGAGGTAAAAATAAAAATTCAAAAAAGTATTTCAATTTTAAACAAATTTTTTTACCCCCTCCCCACAAAATAGATTATAATTAAATAATTATTACCTTGAAAGAAGAATTTTTTTTCGATTCATATTTATTTGGAGCAAATTTATTTAGAACCGCTCTGTTTTTCGTCATATAATTAAAATAATTGACATGTTTCATCTCGTGCACCAAATAAGAATAATAACGAATTCCATGCTAAACGATTTGGAAATATTATTAATTATTTTTCATCATCAATCATGAGCCAAAGTGTCATTAATCATGAATAAAAGAAAAACTTTAGTTCGACGCTCGGATGCACAAAATGATTACAGTATTGTTTCATGTAAACGTCTAACAATGCGAGGCGGCGTCTATAATCAACATTACGTAAATCCATCAGCAACGATAATTATTATTTCAGTGGGAGTGACCTTTCGGTGTCATTGCAATCATAACTATTTCAAATATTAAATTGGGCCAAGAAAGATTTCATTTAAATTTTTGACATTTCTTTCGGCAAAAAGAGATTTTTAGTCACTCTCTACTTGTCGTTTCATTCAAATTAATGATCCATAGATCAGAACTCGAACTGGGTTCGAAAATCTCTTAAAGGTCCGTAAATAATTGCAGAAATTCAATTATTTTCAAAAATAATAAAATTCTTTGCAGAAATTCAATTCTGTTCAAAAGTTTTAAAAACTTCTCGTCAAAATTTCAATTATCTTTAGAAGTAATTAAATTTTTCTCCAAAATTCATTAATTTAAAAAATTTTTTATAAAATTCTTGGTAAAATTTCAATTATTTTCAAAAATTTTCATAAAATTCTTTGCAAAATTTCAATTATTTTCCAAAATTTTTCTCTAAATGATTTTTAATTTATACAATTTTAATAAAATTTACCAAAAGAATTCAATTTTTTAAAAAAGTTTAATAAAATTCTACGCAAACCTTTAATTATTTTCATAAAACAATAAAAATTTTACAGGAATTCAATTATTTACAAACTTTTTTTAAATCTCTTCGCAATCATTCAATTATTGTGATAAATAATAAAATTTTTACAGGGATTGAATTATTTTCGTAAATTAATAAAATTCGTTTTAGAAATTCAATTATTTTCATTAATAATAAAACTCACCGCTGAATTTCAATTATTTTTAAATACATTTTCAATTGAATTCCTCGAAAAATGTATAATTATTCTTTAAAATTTTATTAAAATTCGTCAAAAGAATTCAGTTATTTAAAATTTATTGATTAAATTCTTTATGAGAATTCAATTTTAATTTTTAAGAAACATGCAATTATTCAATAAATTGTTTTTTTAAATAAATAATTGAATTCTAGTAAAATTTTCTAATAAAAATTGATTTAAAAACGGACTTCAGATAAAATTTTAGATTATAATTAATTGAATATTAAAAGCATTATAGCGTCAATTTATGAAAATAATTGAATTTTTAATCAAAAATTATTAAAAATATAATAGAAAAATTTTAGTTAAAAACACAAAAAAAAATTTAATTTTCGAAAAATTACAAATTATTGTAGAAATTCAATTATTTTCAAGAGTAATATGCTATTCTACGCACAAATTACATTTTGTTCAAAAATAATAAAATTCTTCTTAGGGATTCAATTATTTTCATAAATAATAAAACTTATCGTAGGATTTCAATTATTTTTAATACAATTTTCAATTAATTCCTCGAAAAATGCAATTATTTTTAAAAATTTTATAATTCTTCGCAAGAATTCAATTATTTTTGAAAATATTTACATTCTTCTTTGGAATACAATTATTTTTTAAAATTTTAAGAAAATTCATTGCAAAAAATCAATTATTTCCATTATTATTTTTATAAATATAAAAATTCTTCTTAGGGATTCAATTATTTTAAAAAATTTTACTACAATTGGGATCGAAAATTCATTTATTTTTATAACTAATAAAATTCATTGTAGGATTTCAATTATTTTTAATTCAATTTGCAATTAAATCCTTGATAAATGCAATTATTCTTAAAAATCTTATTAAAATTTTTGAAAAAAGTCAATTATTTAAAAAAATAATAATTAGAATTGAATAATTATCTTCAATGCATTTTTTATTAAATTTTTTGAAGGGATTTAATTATTTTCAATATTAACTATTTCAATAAAATTTTCTTTTCTCTTATTATTTTTTTAAATAATCAAAATTTCACATGAAATTAATTGTTTAATTAATTTAATTTCAATTTTTAATTTTAATACAATTGTAAATAGTTTCTTCGAAAAATGCAATTATTCATAAAAGTTTTATTCAAATTCTTGGAAAGAATCCAATTTATTAAAAAAATGTTGATTAAGTTTCTTTTGAAGAATTCAATATTAAGAAAAATTCAATTATTATTCAATAAATTATTTATTTTTGTATTTAAATAATTGAATTCTAGTAGAATTTTCTAATAAAAATATATATAAAAATAAATTTCAGTTCAAATTTTAGATAAAAATTGAATATTAAAGGCAATATAGCGTAAATTTTTAGAAATAATTGAATTTTGAAATTAATTTTTTTGAAAACGTGCGTAATTGAATTTTTTTCATATTATTTTAAGTTTTTAATTTCTAATATTTATATTTAATTGAAGAATTTACGAATAATTGAAATTTCGTATTTTTGGTCCTTAAAGTCCGTATTTTTAATAGTTTTACTGGTTCCAGCACCGAATAGATCTATAGATCAATATATTCCATGATTTATAGATCTATAGATCAATTCTATGATCTATAGATCTATATCTATTATTGTAAATCTATAGATCTATTGTATATAATATATATAATATATACAATATATATTATCTATATATTATGTAATATATAGATCAAAGAATTGTTATAGATAATATAGATCTATAGATAAATAGATTTAATGATTCATACTTCTATAGATCAATAGATTTATGATTTATAAATAAATGATCTGAATGATCTATAATTTGTGATTTGAAGATGAATGTTTTATGGTTGTATAAATAAATTATATATGGATCCTTGAATCTATAATTTGTGATTTAAGAGTAAATGATCTACAGATCTATAATTTACGATCCAAGCATCAATAGCTTATGTCAGTATGGATAAAATAGCTCTGAATCTATGGATCTATAATTTTTGATCTAGGAATCAATGGTTTATGGTTGTATGGAAGAATAACAATCTATAAATCTATAAATCCACAAGAAAACAACGTATTTTTTTTATACATTGAGAATAAAAATTTGATTTCTATAACGTCTCTTTTCGCTGATGCATCATTATCTTGTAAAATTTAAAGACATTGAAATATTTTCCAGAATAAAATTTAATATCCTACAATTATCTTTTTCTGACAAGAGATTAAAGAATTCGCTTTATATATATATAGCAGATCCAATTACTATACTTCTTTCCAATTTGCAATTACCACCCAATTACTGCATACTTGATGCACTTTTTAACACCAATTTTTTTCCATTTCTTTTTCTTATATTCATACCTTCCACTTTTATCTACAATTGCCCCGAGTCCACATTTATCCACGTGCGGATATATTTCATTCTTCTTCATCTTCTTTTTTTTAAGTTCTCGTCTTTTATTTTATTTTTAAAAATTTTTTTGTTCGTCGAATCAAACATGGAAGCACATAAATCTTTACAAGTATTTTTATTTTTATTTTATAGAATTATGTTCGACCTTGGTGTGGATGCTGAACTCGTCGAGCATCCTTCAGGAGTTGACTTTGACGTCAATCGCAATTTTTGCAGCGATTAGCAAACAGGAAAACTTGAACCTAACGAAAAATCATCTCAAGTATCATGTGGTTTGTCTTAGTGTTGTCAGTGCGTGCATTGGCATTACAGGGATTCTCAACTTTGAACCGCAAATATGTGTTTTTCTACCTCATGAAATATCATTGAAATATGGAATATTTTTTAATTCATTGAGAATTTCATTGGTGATGACATCGTTGTTGAGTTTGTTTATAAATATTATGAAAAATTCATGTCATCCGGTGAAAAGTGAATTGTTGAAATCGGTTTCCGATTTGTCGGAAGCAAGCTCGAAAAATTCTTCCGGCGCTTATGAGTGCCATCAACAACATTGGGAGCCGTCAAGTGGTTCCTGCACTAGTGGCTCCACAAATAGCAGGACCTGTTTGAAAAAAAAGAAGATTCAAGTTGATGAGGCCAGTGGAAGATCCACTGTGTTCAGCATTCTTTTTGTCTGCTACATTTTCGACAGTCTTCCAACATTGGTAAGAATTTTATACCTTTTCATACCATTTTATGCAATTTTATGCCTTTTTATGCCTTTTCACGTTTTTTATACAATTTTTATTAATAACAAATATTCAGTAAAAATTTTTTTTATTTAATCAAACTTTTATTTATACACAGTTTTTTTAAGAATATCAAATTGAGACAAAAAATGTATCAAAATGTTCCTTCGCAAAAATTTTGATACATTTTTTGTCTCAATTTAATATCTGTAGAAAAACTGTGTTTGTAAAACGCAAATTTAGGAGAAATTTATATAAAAGGCAGAAAAAAATATCACAATGCTAACAAAAAGTTTGAAATTGGTACCAAAGCATCAAATTGGTATCAAAAATATCAAATTGGTACCAAAAAGTGTGAAAATTATTTCAAAAGTATCTAATTATAACCAAAAAGTTTGAAATAAGTACCAAATATCACATTGTTGTCAAAAATTGAGAAAAAGGTACATAAGTTTTAAATTGTTATTGAAGAATATCAAATTTTTATCAAAGACTACAAAATTACTACCAAAAAGTATTAAACTAATTTCAAAGTCTCAAATTAATAACAAAAAAATATCAAAATGATACCAAGAAGTTTGCCACTGGTACCAAACTATTAAATTGGTACCAACAAATTTCACATTGGTACCAAAGTATCAAATTAGTATCAAAAAATATTAAATTGATTCTAAAGTGTCAAATTGGTACCAAAAAATCATAAATTGGTACTGAAATAACAAATTGGTACCAACAAGTGTCCAATTGATACCAAAGCGTCAAATTGGTAACAAAATTAAATTGATTCTAAAGTGTCAAACTGGTACCAAAAAATCATAAATTGGTACTGAAATAACAAATTGGTACCAACAAGTGTCCAATTGATACCAAAGCGTCAAATTGGTAACAAAAAGTTTCACATTGGTACCAAACTATTAAATTGGTATCAAAAATATCAAATTGATACCAAAATATCAAATTATTCCAAAAAAAGTTCTATTACAGTATACCAAACTGTTAAATTGTTACCAAAACAGTATAAATTAATATCAAAGTGTCAAATCGGTACCAAAAAGTTTCGAATTGGTACCAAAGTATCAAATTGGTATCAAGAAATATTAAATTGATTCTAAAATGGCAAATTGGTACCAAAAATTCATAAATTGATAATAAAATAACAAATTGGTACCAACAAGTGCAAATTGATACCAAAACATAGAATTGGTACCAAATAGTTTCACACTGCTATCAAAGTGTCAAATTCAAATGAAGAAATAGTAAATTAATTCCGAAGTGCCAAATTGGTACCAAAAAGTCATAAATTGATAACAAAATAACATATTGGAACCAAAAAAAACTAAATTGACATCAAAAGTATTAAATTAGAACAGAAAATATGAAAAAATAAATATGCAATTGTTAACAAAGTGTGATAAATTTATATCACAGAATTAAATTGGTATCAAGAAATATAAAGTTGGTACTAAAGTACCAAATTGCTATTAAAAACATAAATTGATACCACAATACCAATTTGTACCAACAAGTGTACAATTGATACCAAAACATAGAATTGGTACCAAAAAGGGCCAGATTGGTACCAAAGTGTCAAATTTAAATGAAAAAAAATAAAATTGTTTCTAAAGTATCAAATTGGCACCAAATAATGTCAAACTGTTACCACAGTGTCAAATTGGTACCAAAAAAATTTCACATTGGCACCAAAGTAATAAATTTTGTATCTAAAAATATTAAGTTGATTCCAAATTGTCAAATTGGTACCAAAAAATATTAAATTGATACCAAAATGTCCAATTAAGTGGAACCAAAAAATATTAAATTGATATCAGAAGTATTAAATTAAAACAGAAAATATGAAAAAATATGTATATGCACCATGTATCAAATGGGTATCAAAAATATCAAATAGGTAACAAAAGTGTCAAATCGTTACAGAAACTTTTAAAAAAAAATTATCATATTGGTACCAAAGGCTTAATTTTTTACAAAAAAAATGTCAAAATGTTCCCAAACAGTTTGAAAATGGTACCAAATTATCAAAGTGATGTCAAAAAATATCAAAATGGTACTAAAAGTATCAAAATAGTTACCAGAAGTTATAAAAAAGTTGTAGTTAAACTTCAATTGCTAATTTGTCCCAAAAAACCTTATTTTATCCTAAATTGAATGTTTTCTTTTTTGTTTGGAAAAATATCACAAGACTTTTGTCGGAGATTTTTTTGATTTAAAAAAATTACACAGACGATTTTTGTACATATATAAATTATTTTTTTTTCTGAGCTCTGACCGCGAAGAAATTTCGTAATACACGAAACTGCATGTAACAGGCCAAGCATAACGCAGCCTCGGCATAATGGACTGAACGGTCAAATTATTATTGTAGGCAGTAGAAAATTTGTAACTGTACAGATTCTATCGCTAACGAGAAGAGTGGATTGCATTTGCCTGCGAGCCACTTCATCATGATACGTTCCACGTTATTAACAGATTATGAACAATGAGTCATGATCTCGAAATCTTCCTTTCTGGTTCTGCCATTTGATTTTTCCATATTTATTTATTTCTCCCTATTTCTATTTTGCAAATTCTGGAAATCAACTTCATTTGAATAAATTTTCCTTTCACTCAATAATAAACTGGATAAACCAAAAGAAAATTAATACTAAATTCTTGAAAATTAGCATAAACTGAGAATTTATCAATTTTTATTCATATTCACATTTTATTTTATTTTTATTGTCGACGATAACTCATAGACTGCAACTCATATAATTCAAAACAAAATACGAATAAAATAATTCAAACTAACGAAATAATAATAGATTCTCTAAATTTAAATTAGTAAAAATATTTACTAATCTGAATTAGTGACTGACTTTTTGTTTTTAAATTAGTAAATTTTACTAAAAAATAATAATTTCTACTAATTTATCAGTAAACTACTAATTGAAAAGCAAAAAGTCAGTCACTAATTAAAATTAGTAATAATTTTTACTAATTCAAATTTAGAGAGTGAGAACTATATTTTCAAAAAAACACAAAATTGGGACAAACAGTTTTCTAAATTTGAAAATGAAAATATTTTTGTTATAAAATAATGTAATGATTTAAACTCATAGACTGAAACTCATACCGTGTCAATTCAATGGATCCCTTAATTAAACAAATAATAAACCAACACCACTCCTGGTTCATAAAATATAATGATCGAAAGTTTATTTTTAATACAATCGTGCGTGCAAACTCAAGCCGGAAACTGGCTTCGTTGAACTTCCAATGCGACTTCCGGAAGTGAAATAAAATAAAAATACAACTCGATCGGGATTCTTTTTAATGCGACTCTTTATTGAGCGTATGAGTAATTTATTCTGATAATATAAACCAATTTAATCACCTTTAAATTTTAATACAAAATTTTTAATATCAAAATTTTAATACATTTTTTAATACAAAATTTTTAATATCAAAATTTTAATACATTTTTTAATACAAAATTTTTAATATCCAAATTTTAATACATTTTTTAATACAAAATTTTTAATATAAAAATTTTAATACAGTTTTTAATACAAAATTTTTAGTACAAAATTACTAAAACAACATTTTTAGTACAAAACTTCTCATATAAAATTTTTAATGTAAAATTTCTAATACAGTATTTTTAATATAAAATTTTTTATACTAAATTTTTAATACAGAAATAATTGTCAATACAATAAATAAATTATGATACGAAACTTATTAATTTAAGCTTCTTAACAATAAAATAATTTAGGACCATTTACAAAAATGTACAATAACGATTTTTCCATATAAATCGTATTTTAAGAAAATAAAATGAAATGCAATTTTTTTTAATAGACACATAGGCGCAAATTAGAAAAAAAATATGTATCTTCGTTTGAGTAACGAATTGAATTTGATTTTCTAATTACAAGAGTATGGAAACATCACTTTCTAATGGCTCTTATTAATTATGATTTCAATTTTTAATTATCAAGAATCGTACATTAAATTCAACCATCAAGATATGATTTCGAAAAGCAATCTTGAGAAAATTCTGTAACACGTAAATATAAGAAAATTCATTTATTCAATATATGATATTTCGCCGCAACACTTTAATTTATTTATTCGAAAAGAAAAATCAATTTCTGGTTTGATATAATTATTTTAGAACGTTTACTCATTAAATTTCCGGTTTAATCAAGAAATTATGGATTTTACGTAAAATTTTTTTTTTATTTACATAAACACATAATGTTTAGAAATTTAAAAACAGCGATCTTTAATTATTTTGTTTTTTTCAATTTAAATGTTATAATAACATAATAATATAATAATAAATTATTATTATTAATAATATTACCCATTATTATTATTATTACATATTATTATTACCAATTATTTTTAATATTATTTTTATTATTTATTACATAATAATAATTTATTATTATTAATAATATTACATATTATTATTATTATCATTTCCATTAATATCATTATTAAATAATAATATCTTTCAATAAAATCGATTAAAGTTTAATATTCAGAATAACGTAACCTTTCTCTTATGTACAAATACATTGAGTTCACATCTTGCCTTCTGGGTTATAGTATAATTAGAAAAACGTATGGAACTTATATTCAAAAATAATTATGTAATCCATATTATTATTGATGAAAAAAAAATCGATGGTACAGGTGAAAGTACTCTTCTATTGTACTTTTTTTCTATTATTACAAAAGAGAACTGCTTTTCTATTTCTCTGCAAGAACAATGGAAGATATTTTCGTTCGTTTGCAACCTTAATTAAAATCTTTATAGTTTAGGATAATTACAGAAAAAAATCGCTTTTCATACATTTCCTGAAATGAAAATTTTGACAAAATGTTCCATTGTGTGATGATTTTTACCAGATGTCTAGGACAGTTTCCTTTGAATTGTTTTTTAATTGGACACTTGTTGGTACCAATTTGTTATTTTGGTGTTAATTTTTTATTTTTTGGTACCAATTTAACACTTTAGAATCAATTTAATATTTCTTGATACCCAATATGATACTTTGGTACCAATGTCAAACTTTTTGGTACCAATTTGATACTTTAGAATCAATTTAATATTTCTTGATCCCCAATTTGATACTTTGATACCAAAATGGAAATTTTTGGCACCAGTTTGACGCTTTGGTATCAATTGGACACTTGTTGGTACCAATATTGTTATTTTCTTATCAATTTATGATTTTATGGTACCAATTTGACACTTTAGAATCAATTTAATATTTCTTGATACCAATTTGATACTTTGGTGCCAATGCGAAAGTTTTTGGTACCAATTTGACATTTTGATATTAATTAATACTTTTTTGGTATCAATTGGACACTTGTTTGTACCAATTTGTCATTTTGTTATCAATTTATGATGTTTTGGTACCAATTTGACACTTTAGAAACAATTTAATAATTCTTGATTTGAATTTGACACTTTGGTACCAATGTGAAACTTTTTGTTACCAATTTAACGTTTTAGTATCAACTGGACACTTGTTGGTACCAATTTGTTATTTTGTTATCAATTTACGATTTTTTGGTACCAATTTGACACTTTAGAATCAATATAATATTTCTTGATACCAATTTGATACTTTGGTACCAATGCAAAACTTTTTGGTACGAATTTGACACTTTGATATCAATTTATACTTTTTTGGTACCAATTTGATACTTTTGTGCCAATTTCATATTCTTTATCATTTATTTCGATTAAGCGATAAATAAATTAAGCGATACACTAATTAGAAGAAATCAACTCCTTAGAATTCAGAAACAGTTCGTTGCAACTATGAAATCACATTTTATAGCCGCAAATGTATATAGAGAGAAACTGTGACGTGCTCATCATAAGCGAGAGTATGTGAGTGGATTACATGTCGAGTTGTATTAACGCGTGCTATTTTCTAATTAGGTACACACTAGTTTCGATTTCATACCACGTACTTAGACCGGCTTCGTAACACACTCTGCAAAAATATATATATATATTTCTTTCAATACACTCTCGCTGAAATATTTTCTATATAAGAAATTTCAGTATTACCCACTCTCAATTTCTAGCATTTAGAGAATGTGTGCTATACGAAAGTCATTTAATATACTTAATACTTATGAGTATTAAAATACAAACAGAGGATTATTTACATTTTTCATTACAGTAAACATATATTATCTCTTTATTCTATACATATAGTGTAGTATTTCAATATTATATACGTGCAAGAACTTTTGAAAGCGCAACCAAAGATTTTCACTCCGGGGACGAATGTATATATTTGTATAATATACCTGATAAAATCGAAAGCCTTTGAGAATTATAATGAGAAATTGAAATGAAATGGAGCATTAAGAGAAACCTTTTTTTTATTTATGAGATCATATTTAGACAGGTACATTAATTTTAATTTTATTTTTTATGTGACGCGCTCCGAAGAAAGGTACCTTAGAAGCAAATTATTTTTTTTTTGTTATTTTTACCTTAATTAAAAGTTTCTGTGTTTAATTGAAAACAAGAGTCTTTTTTGCTTCTCAGGTACGAAAAATATCGAAACTCTCAAAATAAATGATAAAAAATATCAAATTGGTTCTAGAAACTATCAAAAAGCATCAAATTGATACCAAAGTATCCAATTAATAAGACAATAATATCAAATTGGTACCAAAAAATGTCAAACTATTACCAAAGTGTCAAATTGGTACCAAAAAGTTTGTTATTGGTACCAAAGTATCAAATTGGTATCAAGAAATATTAAATTGATTCTAAAGTATCAAATTTGTACACATTGGTACAAAAGTGTCAAATTCAAATGAAGAAATATTAAATTGTTTCCATAGTGTCAAATAGGTACCAAAAAGTTCCGCATTGGTACCAAAGTATCAAACTGGTATCAAGAAATATTGAATTGATTCTAAAATGGAAAATTGGTACCAAAAAATCATAAATTGATAACAAAATAACAAATTGGTACCAACAAGTGTCCAACTGATACAGAAATGTCGAGTAGGTACCAACGTATGAAATTGGTATTGAGAAATATGAAATTGATTCCACATTGTCAAAAAACCAAAAAATATGAAATTGATACAAAAATGGCAAATTGGTACCAAAAATATTAAATACATATGAAATGTAACAAATTCGTTCAAGAAGTAATAAGGAATATAACCATTTATTACTAAAAAGTGTTCAATTGATACAAAAGAATTAAATTGATATCAAGAAATTTTAATTTGGTAGTAAAGTATCAAACTGGTATCAAAAAATCTCTATTTAATACCAAAAATAATCATAAGTTCTTACCAAAATTTTTTTATATTAGTTCCAAATTTATCACATTGGTCAGAAAAAAAATCTAATTCGTACCAAAAATATCAAATTGATTCCGGAAACTATCAAAAAGTAACAAATTGATACTAAAGTATCAACTTAAAACCACAATGATATCAAATTGGTACCAAAAAATTTCCAACTATTACCAAAGTGTCAAATTGGTACCAAAAAGTTTCACATGCGTACCAAAGTATCAAATTGGCATCAAGAAATATTAAATTGATTCTAAAATGTCAAACTGGTACCGAAAAATCATAAATTGATAACAAAATAACAAATTGGTATCAACAAGTGTCTAATTGATACTAAAACATTTAATTGGTACCAAAAAGTTCCGCTTCGGTACCAGAGTAACAAACTGGTATCAAGAAATATTGAATTGATTCTAAAATGAAAAATTAGTACCAAAAAATCATAAATTGATAACAAAATAACAAATTGGTACATACAAGTGTCCAACTGATACCAAAACTTCGAGTTGGTACCAAAAAGTTTCAGATTGGTACCAAAGTATCAAATTAGTCAAAAAATTGTAAACATTAATACCAAAGTAACAAATTAGTACAAAAAATTTTGAATTTGTGTTTGAATTATTATTATTAGTTTAATATTGTATTATGTTAACATTAATTATATTCAATTACGTATAAGAAAGAGAATTTAATAATTAGAGAATTAGACAATCAGAGAATTAGAGAAAGAGAATTTTTACGTAACATTTGCTCTACGAAATAAAATATATATATAAAAATGTACATTGAAAAGAAAAAAAAAGAGAAGGAGAGAACAATTTCAGGAATGAGGAAGAGATTCTCTCGGTGCGGTTATAAAAGAATCTGAATGAATTTGGTAATGACTTTTCTGGCGAAAGTAATTTTGCGATTACTTGCTGTATCTTGTTTTTACAGTTGATTTTCTAAAGCGAGTAAAAAAAATTTTTCCCATTTTGAATAACGAACACCTGATTGAGAAGCCGGTATATTTCCATAACTATACCTTCTTTTACAAAATGTATTACAAAATTACATTTTTAAAATCAGATTTCATTTCTGTAATGAAAAAACTGAAAAAAAATTTAAATATAAAACAATGAGTTGAACTCATTGTTTTATATTTTAGCTAAGACGACCGAGTGATAAATAAATATATAAATAAATAAATAAATTCAAATATTTATTAAAAAAAAAAAATTTTACGAAATTGTATTATATTAATTTGTAAGTCTACTGCATTTTTACTAAAATAAATATTTCTAAAAGAGATTTTTTATTATGTTTTACCGCATTTTTTTACAGTATAAAATGTTGCGTAACAGCGTAAAAGTGAAAAAAAATACTAAATTATAGTAACTTTTAAATTATTACCATACAAGTACTGTTAAAATCCGTTATAATTTCAAGGAGAGGAATAAAAAATTTAACATCTGCTATACATGTAATTTAAATATTATAGTTTTTTTTTATTTATCAACGATGAGGAAGTGAAGAAAAAAGGAACAGAAAAATTTAATCAGTAATTATTTAATGTTTCAGATAATCTCCATTTGGCCAGATTTATTCAAAGACTTCTGCACACCACAGAACTTGGCCACATGGCTGCCACTATTGAAAGACACACTTCTCCCCGTATTTCTTGCAATGTTCGATAAAATGTTCTGTCGCTATGTGGCTAAAGTCTACACAAAACAGGACCATTCAATGAAAATATCACACGGTATGCTAAAAAAAAAAATTTTTAACCAATTTCAAAAATAGTGTTTTCTTCACTGAGAAAGAAGAAATAATTCTTCTTTCTCTGAGAAGAATCTTCTTTAAAACGATTCAATTTTTTTAAAAAAATATTCGAAATTCAATTATTTTCAATATCTAGTATTTTCATAAAATTTCGCAAAAGAATTTAATTATTTTTAAAAAAATTGATAAAATTCATCCAAAATTACATTATTTTCCTAAATAATAAAATTTTCACAGGACTTCAATTAATTTAGAATAGCATTTTCAAAAAAATTTCGAAAAAATCAATTATTTAACAAAATTTTTATACAATTCGAATTCTTCACAATAATTCAATTTCTTTCAGTAATAATAACATTTTTCATGAAAATTTAATTATTTAAAAAAGTTTTTGATAAAATTCTAAGCAAGAATTCAATTATTTTCAATAATAATAAAATCATCAAAAATTTCAATTATTTTTAATACTATTTTATTAATTGATCGAAGAATTCAATTATTTTCACAAATAAAATTTTCCACAAAAATTCAAATATTTAAAATAAAATTTTCGTACCTAATATTTATTATATTTCGAAAAAAATTAATTTTTTAAAACAATGCTTATGAAATTCTAAGAATTTGCTAAGAATTTTGTTATTTTTGAAAATAATTGAATTCTTTAATTCAATTATTTTCAAAAATAACAAACTTCTTCGCAACTATTCCATTCTTTTCTTAAAAAATAGAATTCATAGCAGGATTTTAATTATTTTTAATACAATTTTTCAGGAATTGCTCATAAAATGTAATTATTCTTAAAAATTTAATTTCAATTCCACGAAAAAATTAATTATTTAAAAAATGTTTTTTTAAAATTCTTTGGAAGAATTTAATTATTCACAAAAATATTAGAATTTTTCACAGAAATTCAATTAGTTTCAAATATTTTAATAAAATTTTTCAAAAGAAATCAATTTTTTTAAATACAATTTTAATTACATTTTTTTTAAATAATTCAATTATTCTTTTAGATTTTAATAAAGTTTTTTTGATACTTTTTTAAAATTAATTATCGAGTGCGAAGTCTGTAATTATAATTATTATAATTTAGACCATAAAAAAAATTTAGAATCTTTTATTTAATAAATCATATTATAAATCATAACCATTGGGTCAAATAAAAATTTCAACATCTTTTATTTGATTAATAATAATAATAAAAATAGTTACACTATAAAAAGAAGTATTTTAAAAGTAACTTTGTAGTCACTTTTAAAAAACTTAATTTTTGCATTGTAGGCTAAAGAAAAAATTTAAGATCTTTTATTTAATAATTAATAATGATAAAAATAGTAATAATAATAATAAATAATAATAAATTAATTAGTTAATTAATGAAAGAAAAAGTTATTTTGAAGATATCTGGATTGAAATTAATTAAAAATCTAAATTACTTTCCCCAGTGATAAAAAGTCCTCGAATTATAGATCCATGAATTTAATACCTCTTCAAGTTTTTTAATACACATTCGAAAGTAGATTGTATGAAATATGTTCTTAATTTATTTAACATATTGTTACTAATAGTTTATTTAATAAAGTAGTCTCTTCCATTCATAGAATGGAATTTATAGAATGAAATTCATAGAATGAAATTCATAGAATAAAATTCATAGAACGTGAATATCGGAAGTAGTGATTTTATATTAAATTTAATACCTTTTTTTATTTAAACTTCCTTTCTATTGAGCTTACTCAGAAATACATTTCCTTGCATTGACAAAAAAGACACTACTTCCATTATTTACTCTACTGTTATTAGTAATTTCTCACTTTCGTAATTTTTTTTTTTTTCAAAACTAATTATCAAAAATGTCGAAAATATATAAATATAAAAATATTAAATTTGTATATTTTCGAAACTCATTACAATGAATACTACACGCTGTTTATTTTTTTCCATAATTTCCCTGTTATCCAACTTAGGTAGTATAGATGGAAAATTTCGTCACTTTGAGCATGATGCTGAATACAAGTTGCAGCTGAATCTGAATCATGGTTTAAAATTCCCTCTCACAAACGGAAGTCTCTATGGACGATTACACAATCAAAACAGAGGTGTGCCACATTTCTTCTAATAGATTTCAATTTTTAAAAAATGGGCTAAGCTTTTTGTAATTTAAAATGTTTTTGTCATCTTTATGTATAATCTTTAAGTAATCTTTATGTAATATTTAAGTAAACTTTTTGTATTCTTTTTCTATTCTTGTTGTACTCTTTTTGTATTCATTTTGTATTCTTTTTGTATTCTTTTTGTATTCTTTTTGTATTCTTTTTGTACTCTTTTTGTATTCATTTTGTATTCTTTTTGTATTCTTTTTCTATTTTCTTTCTGTATTTTTTGTATTCTTTTTGTATTCTTTTTGTACTCTTTTTGTATTCATTTTGTATTCTTTTTGTATTCTTTTTCTATTTTTTTGTATTCTTTTTGTACTCTTTTTGTATTCATTTTGTATTCTTTTTGTATTCTTTTTGTATTCTTTTTGTGAGCTTCTTGTAATTTTTTTTTTTAAGAATTTAATTGTAAGATTTTTGTTTGAACTTTAAATTCTGTAATTTATTTGAAATTGTAAGAGAATAAAAATGTATCTTTTTGTTTTTAAAGCGAGAACTGGAACTATTACGATGGGGATTCAACATTATCCAAGGTCGCAATCAACGCAGGAGGATAATGCTTACGGTTCTCTTTCGCCGGAAGTCGCGTCCTTTACAAGTTCAACCTTCGAGCCACGAATTGATAGCGCCGTTAAAACATCATTTGAGCAACGAAATAATAATAGGGATTATGAAAATTTTGAATATGGAAAGAGGAGAAAAGTTGGTAGTACCGATGTATTTGGACAGAATTTAGAGAATCTTGTGCAACTCGATAATTCGTCGAAACGTAAATTTACAAAGAGTTTGGACGAAATACGTGAGGAGGTGCCGAGGAAAATTGACCGAAGTGTTCCTGGCTTGGAGAATTTTGTTGCTGGACTGGAGAAAAATCGTTCTGAAGAGGTGCAATTTCAGAGGAATGCTGTTAGGCGGAATCAAAGTTTCGATCAGGCCAGGTAAGTTTGTGTTGAAAAATGTTTTCTTTACTTGGCTACAATTTTATTCGTAACAAATACTTTGGTTCGTTGACTTCAATTTTTATACGTAACAAATACTTTTGTTCGTTGGCTTCAATTTTATTCGTAACAAACATTTTTGTTCGTTGACTTCAATTTTAAATGTAGCAAACAGTTTGTTTATTCACTTCAATTTTTTTTATTGACTGAAGATTCTTTAAGGACTCGAACTAGGTACGTAAATTCCGTAAAAGTCCGTAAATTTGCTAGAAGTCCATAAAAGTCAGTTTTTTTCAAAAAATATCCGTAAAGTCCGTAATTTGATTGAGAAAAGACGAAAAGTTCGTAAATTGTACTATACAATTTGGAGAATTTTAGAAAAATTACAATTGATTGCAGAAATTCAATTATTTTCAAAAATAATAAAATTCTTCGCAAAAATTCAATAATGTTCACAAATTTTTTTAAATTATCGTCCAAATTTCAATTATCTTTAGAAATAATTAAATTCTTCTCCGAAGTTCAATTATTTTTCAAAAATTTTAATAAAATTCTTGGCAAAATTTCAATTAATTTAAAAAATTTTCCTCAATTCAATGATTTTTAATATCTACTATTTTAATAAAATTTTACAAAAGAATTCAATTATTTATAAAAAAAATTAATAAAATTCAACGCACACCTTTAATTATTTTCATAAAATAATACAAATTTCACATAGAGATTCAATTATTTTCGTAAATAATAAAATTCTTTTTAGGAATTCAATTATTTTTTCAAATAATAAAACTCATTGCAAAATTTCAATTATTTTTAATACAATTTTAATCGAATTTCTCGAAAAAATTAATTATTCTTAAAATTTTTATTAAAATTCATCAAAAGAATTAAATTAGAATATAAAAATTTATTGATAAAATTCTTTGTAAACATTTAATTATTTTCATAAATAATAAAATTTTCAAAGGAATTCAATTATTTTAAACGCAATTCTCATAAAATTTTTCTAAAAAAACAATTATTTAAAAAAATTTTTATAAAGTCCTGCCCAAAAATTTTATTTATTTTTAAACAATTTTAAATAATTCTTTGCAAGAATTAAATTATTTTTATTAATAAAAAAATTTTTCTTAGAATAATTTAATTATTTTTTAAAATTGTAACAAAATTCTTTCCAAGAATACAATTATTTTTAAAAATTTTAATAAACTTCTCTTAAAGAATTCAATTATGTTTTAAATTTTCATTAAAATTCTTGTAAACGATTCAATTATTTTCACAAATTTTCCGAAATTTATTTATTTTCAATATTTACTATTTTAATAAAATATTTTTCAAAAGAATTCAATAATTTGAAAATTTTTTCTTTAAAATTCTTTGTAAACATTCAATTATTTTCATAAATAATAAAATCTTCACAGGAATTCCATTATTTTAAACACAATTTTCATAAAATTTTTCGAAAAAAAAATTATTTAAAAAGATTTTTATAAAGTCCTACACAAGAATTAAATTATTTTTATAGATAATAAAATTCTTTTCAAAAATTCAATTATTATTAATTCGTTGAAAGAATTCAATTATTTCAAAATTTGTTAATAAAATTCTTTATGGGAATTGAATTTAAAATAACATTTAATTATTTAATAAATTATCTATGTTTGTATTTAAATAATTGAATTCTCATAGAAAAAGAACTCCAAAACCTCTGTTTTGGAGTTTTTTTTGCAGCAGCTAATGATGTAAAATGGGTGCCAAAATTTGTTTACGATTTGTCTCTCAAAAATTCTAAATTCTAGTTTTTTTTTCTAGCAGCTTTTGAACTAAATTTGGCGTCTATATTTAATTACGATTTGACTTCAAGAATAAAAATCTTCTGAAGTTTCTTCTTCAGCAACTTAATTATATACAGTTAAATGGGCGTCTGTATTTAGTTATGCGGTTTGTCTTAAAAAATAAATCTTCTAAGTTTTTTTCGCAGCAGTTTGTGAAGTAAAATAGGCGCTAAAATTTGTTTACGATTTGTCTTCAAAAAAAAAAATTTTCTGAAGTTTCTCTCGCAGCAGCTTTTGTGAAGTAAAATAAGCGCCAAAATTAAGTTACGATTTGTTTTCAAAAAATAAATCTTATAAAGTTTCTTTTATAGCAGCTTATGAAGTAAAATAGGCGCCAAAATTTAGTTACGATTTGTCTTCAAAAAATTCTGATGTTTCTTTTGTAGCAGCTTCTGAAGTAAATTGTGCGCCTGCAGTTAGTTACGATTTGACTTTAAGAATAAAATCTGCTTAAGTTTCTTCTACAGCAGCTTATACAGAAAAATGGGCGCCTGTATTTAATTACGATTTGTCTTCAAGAAGTAAATCTTCCGAAGTTCCTTTTCCAGCAGCTCCTGAAGTAAAACCGACTTATAAAGTCATTTTTGGTTCATATACTCACCTTGACTCTCTACTAGAAACCTCTTTCTTGAATCCACCTCTCCTGCAGCATCTGAAACATAAACAAAAATCATTAAAAATATTTCTCTTTCACTTTAGTTTTATCTCAACTCTCCTCAAACTTACTTACTTAATCCTATAAAACTAATAGAGTGGAACTAATCCACTCAACTTAAATTATCCCCAATTATAGAATTCTAAAATTAGAATTAGAATAACATTAAAAATTTCTTTATTTCAGTTCAGTGCAATTTGAAAATTTCAAAGCAAAATACTTCAACCTTGGTAGATTTCCACGACAGGGAATGGACTCGAGGACATATGATATTAAGAAGGATGCGATTAGACGTGATCAGTTGCAAGCTCTTCATTCAAAGCAAAATGCAGAGGATAATGATGCCGATTATGAATCTTCGGATGACGAAAGTTGTGACCTTGAAAGCGGTGATTTTGATACAATGAGCTCGTGTAGAAGCAGAGCGAGAAGTTGCTGTTCAGTTACAACCGTTGCTAATGATGACTTTGAATTTTTCCAAAGAAAAGGAACAAAGGTATAGGATCAAAAATTAATTAACATTAATTTTCGAACTTTGATTTCGTGTATGTAAACATTTTTTTAAATTCATTACCATTAATGGTAAAAATGAGAAATTCTGTGTTCTGTCAGAATTCAACTTTCTAAACCAATGTTCTATCTCCTTCTTCCATTATCTAACGGATTTTTATAGAAAATAATAAAATTTATGACAGAAAATATTTTTGGAGAATTAATAGTATTTTTTATGTATGTTCGTAGGTGGAGTTATTGCCTCTCAAAAAAGGTAATGGAAGTAAAGTAAATATGCGTACATTCACGCCGAAAATTATTGAAAATGAAGCAACGCCCGGATTATTGGATAGTGTTAAAGAAAAAATTGACACAAAACCAGTAATTCAGTCATATCATTTAAAAAAGAAAATCACTGCCGGTTATTCAATGAACGACATCGATAAAATCGATGGTAATACAATAATGCCAAATCTTTCGATGGAAAGTCTTCGTAGTATTCTTAAAAATACTGACGTCAGTTACCTCGACAGTGGGGAAATATGTAGGCACGATATCGGTGGATCTGTTCCTGATTTTAAAAAAGTATTTCTCTCCGAATTCATTTAAAATCATTATTTCAAAAATCGAACTATAGTCAATGTGAAATCAAAAGAACATTTGAAATTGTTTAACAGTTTTTTTAACATTTAAAAAATAATATTTCTCTGTACATAAATAATTATACCATACAACTCTACTAATTTATGACTCGTCAATTTTAAAATTGAACAAAATATTAATTTCTTAAAAAAATAACTTAATTCCTAAAAAATAAGAAAAATTAGTTTCTAAATAAAATTGTAGAAAAAAATAGTAAGAATCAATATTACAGATTTTATTGATTTTTACAGGAATAAAAATACTTATTATTGTGAAAAATCATTGAACGTAATCAGAGCGCGCGATGCGTTTTAATAATGTGTATATATTTTGTACATCTATATCGCACTACTTAATATTCAGAAAATGTATTAACGTTATAATTATCAAATGAAATATGCTAAAATGAACCGGACACGTTAATTAGAAATATAAAACGTCAGAAAGAATAATTATTCGATTCGAATAATCATCCGTTATTTTGGGATGAAATATTTTTTACGAAATATTTAAATCAAATAATTATAAAATAATTATCAAATAATTATCAAAAAGACATGACAATTAAAAGTTCATTTCGAATCGAAATGGTCAACGACATTTTAAATTTTATACCCTCTTTTTAAAAAGTAAAGTTTGATTGAATTCAAAAACATTAAAAATTAAAATTATACATTTTAAAATGTACAAATAATTCTTTTTGAGTAAAATTTTTTTTAAAAATGTTGATAATTACATGCAGTAATTACAAAAATACAAAATTATTAAACTGTAAGCAAAGAATGAAACTAATTTACTTTTTAATACACACAAGAAAAGTAAAAAACTAATCTTAATAGTGTTTATAACTACTATTTTATTGATCAAATCAAATGTATTTTATTTTAATTAATAATCCATCCATTTTATTATAAATCACAAAAATTTGTAATCAAGCGATTGAAAAATCTTTAAATTTTTTAGACATATAGCTCTCTCATAAAATTCACCAAAATGCAATAGAATTAAAAAAAATACAAAATTTAATCAAAATTGTACCTTAAAACTGCTTTAAAATTTTACTCCATTGTAAAAAATGTAAATATGTCATATGTATATGAAATTTTGAAATAAAAATAAGTCTGTTTCTTATAAAAGTGCTTGTTATTTGATTATAAAATTATGTAAATAAAATTTTGTGTAAAATATTTAAAAATTTTAAAAAAGAAAAGAACTTTCAAGAGAAAAAAGAAATTTTAAAATAAAAAAGCAATTTAAAAACAGCAATTTTATTTTTTATTTTCAGATAATTAGAAATTTTGAATTTGGAAGAAATAAATTTTTATTTTCATTTTTAACAAATTTAAATTGTCTGATGGCGTACGGGTGGTGGTGCTACTACTTAAAAATTGAAATAAAATTCTCTATTCTTCAGGATTGTGTGAGGCTCAGTCCCTACTAGAACTCTGGTAATTTTCAGATTATTAGATTTGTTATATTTGGAAGAAATAAATTTTTATTTTCATTTTTAACAAATTTAAATTGTCTGATGGCGTACGGGTGGTGGTGCTACTACTTAAAAATTAAAATAAAATTCTCTATTCTTCAGGATTGTGTGGGGCTCAGTCCCTACTAGAACTCTGGTAATTTTCAGATTATTAGAATTGTTATATTTGGAAGAAATAAATTTTTATTTTCGTTCTTACCAAATTATGATTGTCTGATGGCGTACGGGTGGACCTGCTACTACTTAAAAATTGAAATAAAATTCTCTATTCTTCAGGATTGTGTGGGGCTCAGTCCCTACTAGAACTCTGGTAATTTTCAGATTATTAGAATTGTTATATTTGGAAGAAATAAATTTTTATTTTCGTTCTTACCAAATTATGAATGTCTGATGGCGTACGGGTGGTGGTGCTACTACTTAAAAATTGAAATAAAATTCTCTATTCTTCAGGATTGTGTGAGGCTCAGTCCCTACTAGAACTCTGGTAATTTTCAGATTATTAGATTTGTTATATTTGGAAGAAATAAATTTTTATTTTCATTTTTAACAAATTTAAATTGTCTGATAGCAATCGGGTGGTGGTGCTACTTCTTAAAAATTAAAATAAAATTCTCTATTCTTCAGGATTGTGTGAGGCTCAGTCCCTACTAGAACTCTGGTAATTTTCAGATTATTAGAATTGTTATATTTGGAAGAAATAAATTTTTATTTTCGTTCTTACCAAATTATGATTGTCTGATGGCGTACGGGTGGACCTGCTACTACTTAAAAATTGAAATAAAATTCTCTATTCTTCAGGATTGTATGGGGCTCAGTCCCTACTAGAACTCTAATAATTTACAGATTATTAGAATTGTTATATTTGGAAGAAATAAATTTTTATTTTCATTTTTAACAAATTTAAATTGTCTGATGGCGTACGGGTGGTGGTGCTACTACTTAAAAATTGAAATAAAATTCTCTATTCTTCAGGATTGTGTGGGGCTCAGTCCCTACTAGAACTCTGGTAATTTTCAGGTTATTAGAATTGTTACATTTAGAAGAAATAAATTTTTATTTTCGTTCTTACCAAATTATGATTGTCTGATGGCGTACGGGTGGACCTGCTACTACTTAAAAATTGAAATAAAATTCTCTATTCTTCAGGATTGTGTGGGGCTCAGTCCCTACTAGAACTCTGGTAATTTTCAGATTATTAGAATTGTTATATTTGGAAGAAATAAATTTTATTTTCATTTTTAACAAATTTAAATTGTCTGATAGCATTCGGGTGGTGGTGCTACTACTTAAAAATTGAAATAAAATTCTCTATTCTTCAGGATTGTGTGGGGCTCAGTCCCTACTAGAATTCTGGTAATTTTCAGATTATTAGAATTGTTATATTTGGAAGAAATAAATTTTTATTTTCATTTTTAACAAATTTAAATTGTCTGATGGCGTACGGGTGGACCTGCTACTACTTAAAAATTGAAATAAAATTCTCTATTCTTCAGGATTGTGTGGGGCTTAGTCCCTACTAGAACTCTGGTAATTTTCAGATTATTAGAATTGTTATATTTGGAAAAAATGAATTTTTATTTTCGTTCTTACCAAATTATGATTGTCTGATGGCGTACGGGTGGTGGTGCTACTACTTAAAAATTGAAATAAAATTGTCTATTCTTCAGGATTGTGTGGGGCTCAGTCCCTACTAGAACTCTGGTAATTTTCAGGTTATTAGAATTGTTACATTTGGAAGAAATAAATTTTTATTTTCGTTCTTACCAAATTATGATTGTCTGATGGCGTACGGGTGGACCTGCTACTACTTAAAAATTGAAATAAAATTCTCTATTCTTCAGGATTGTGTGGGGCTCAGTCCCTACTAGAACTCTGGTAATTTTCAGATTATTAGAATTGTTATATTTGGAAGAAATAAATTTTTATTTTCATTTTTAACACATTTAAATTGTCTGATAGCATTCGGGTGGTGGTGCTACTACTTAAAAATTGAAATAAAATTCTCTATTCATCAGGATTGTGTGAGGCTCAGTCCCTACTAGAACTCTGGTAATTTTCAGATTATTAGATTTGTTATATTTGGAAGAAATAAATTTTTATTTTCATTTTTAACAAATTTAAATTGTCTGATAGCATTCGGGTGGTGGTGCTACTACTTAAAAATTGAAATAAATTTCTCTATTCTTCAGGATTGTGTGGGGCTTAGTCCCTACTAGAACTCTGGTAATTTTCAGATTATTAGAATTGTTATATTTGGAAGAAATAAATTTTTATTTTCATTTTTAACAAATTTAAATTGTCTGATGGCGTACGGGTGGACCTGCTACTACTTAAAAATTAAAATAAAATTCTCTATTCTTCAGGATTGTGTGGGGCTCAGTCCCTACTAGAACTCTGGTAATTTTCAGGTTATTAGAATTGTTACATTTGGAAGAAATAAATTTTTATTTTCGTTCTTACCAAATTATGATTGTCTGATGGCGTACGGGTGGACCTGCTACTACTTAAAAATTGAAATAAAATTCTCTATTCTTCAGGATTGTGTGGGGCTCAGTCCCTACTAGAACTCTGGTAATTTTCAGATTATTAGAATTGTTATATTTGGAAGAAATAAATTTTTATTTTCATTTTTAACAAATTTAAATTGTCTGATAGCATTCGGGTGGTGGTGCTACTACTTAAAAATTGAAATAAAATTCTCTATTCTTCAGGATTGTGTGAGGCTCAGTCCCTACTAGAACTGTGGTAATTTTCAGATTATTAGAATTGTTATATTTGGAAGAAATAAATTTTTATTTTCATTTTTAACAAATTTAAATTGTCTGATGGCGTACGGGTGGACCTGCTACTACTTAAAAATTAAAATAAAATTCTCTATTCTTCAGGATTGTGTGGGGCTCAGTCCCTACTAGAACTCTGGTAATTTTCAGGTTATTAGAATTGTTACATTTGGAAGAAATAAATTTTTATTTTCGTTCTTACCAAATTATGATTGTCTGATGGCGTACGGGTGGACCTGCTACTACTTAAAAATTGAAATAAAATTCTCTATTCTTCAGGATTGTGTGAGGCTCAGTCCCTACTAGAACTCTGGTAATTTTCAGGTTATTAGAATTGTTACATTTGGAAGAAATAAATTTATATTTTCGTTCTTACCAAATTATGATTGTCTGATGGCGTACGGGTGGACCTGCTACTACTTAAAAATTGAAATAAAATTCTCTATTTTTCAGAATTGTGTGGGGCTCAGTCCCTACTAGAACTCTGGTAATTTTCAGATTATTAGAATTGTTATATTTGGAAGAAATAAATTTTTATTTTCATTTTTAACAAATTTAAATTGTCTGATAGCATTCGGGTGGTGGTGCTACTACTTAAAAATTGAAATAAAATTCTCTATTCTTCAGGATTGTGTGAGGCTCAGTCCCTACTAGAACTCTGGTAATTTTCAGATTATTAGAATTGTTATATTTGGAAGAAATAAATTTTTATTTTCGTTCTTACCAAATTATGATTGTCTGATGGCGTACGGGTGGACCTGCTACTACTTAAAAATTGAAATAAAATTCTCTATTCTTCAGGATTGTGTGGGGCTCAGTCCCTACTAGAACTCTGGTAATTTTCAGATTATTAGAATTGTTATATTTGGAAGAAATAAATTTTTATTTTCGTTCTTACCAAATTATGAATGTCTGATGGCGTACGGGTGGTGGTGCTACTACTTAAAAATTGAAATAAAATTCTCTATTCTTCAGGATTGTGTGAGGCTCAGTCCCTACTAGAACTCTGGTAATTTTCAGATTATTAGATTTGTTATATTTGGAAGAAATAAATTTTTATTTTCATTTTAACAAATTTAAATTGTCTGATAGCAATCGGGTGGTGGTGCTACTTCTTAAAAATTAAAATAAAATTCTCTATTCTTCAGGATTGTGTGAGGCTCAGTCCCTACTAGAACTCTGGTAATTTTCAGATTATTAGAATTGTTATATTTGGAAGAAATAAATTTTTATTTTCGTTCTTACCAAATTATGATTGTCTGATGGCGTACGGGTGGACCTGCTACTACTTAAAAATTGAAATAAAATTCTCTATTCTTCAGGATTGTATGGGGCTCAGTCCCTACTAGAACTCTAATAATTTACAGATTA